CGTGTGTTATAAAGGTTGTTAAGTTTAAAGTGACTGTGGGAATTCTGTGTATAACTAAAAGTTGTATCTAGAAAGAATAAACTGGTTTAATCAAGAAAGGGCTCGTATCGCTGAAGTTCCTCGGAAATAATTTATACCGGAAATTAACAAACAAGCAGATAGCAACAATATTATCACCCTCTTTAAATATACTTGTACTTCAATACTGTTAACTACTGAAAGCCGATGATTTAATTTCCCTTTCACTCTTTACATGTCAGAGCATGCTTTTCATTTCTCCTAACAGCTTCAGTATATCTGAGTTGCTAAATGATTTACAATTTCAAAATGAATTCAAAAGTACAATAACAGCAACTTTTACAGTAAGCGAGTTCTGATTTTAATAATTACAACGTTTCGGCCCATCATAATGTAATTTTTAATTGCTTATACTAATTATTAAAATCAGTGCTCGTCTAATGTAAAAGTGGCTGTTATTATATTTTTTGAATTGAATATTCAGTTAAGTAAGTTCGTCACTGAACAGTAACTTGAAAAGTAAACCAACTAGTATGCTACCATGAAAAATATAATTATAAAAACAAATAAAAAGGGGCAGCATGGCCTAGCGTGTAGCGTACTAGGTATCGATAGGTTTAAGGTATCTAAGGTCTAAATAGTACAATATCACGCTTCGCACTTTCAGTTGGGACTGTCATTGTCAATCCAGGTATTCGATTGAAAGCAGACTGAGGCACGAGTGCAGGTATCTGGTTTCCCTTCCTCTGGTCAACAGCTCAAAATTAGAGGCAGGTGGATATGCGTAAACCTCGGGGACTCTGATATGGTCGTTTAGCTCATGTGTCGCAGGAGGAGCTGTTCGGGTTGAAAATACCAAATACTGGAAAAAATTAAATTTCTATAAATGAGTTAAACAAACAGGATGAAGACTTTGACTGCCTTAAAGTGAGAACGTTTACATCAAACATTTGAAATACTTATCTTTGCGTTTTAGCTTTAGTCACTATGTCATTGGGAAATGTTCGGCTAAACAGTTCGTTTGGGTGTAAACTACCTTACTATGTGTCCTTTGTACATTAACTTAGCATATCTTTGTATTTAGTATATGTTCGTATTGGTTGTGAAATTATTATCATTTGTTTCGTAATTGTTGTTGTTTTTCTAATTATTACAAAAATTAGTTCTTATATTACACATACCAATCATTGCCCAAAGAAAATTCCCTCATTTTTATAAATGAAAATGGGTTTACTTGTTTTGTGGCGCCATCTAATAAAAGTGATAAGTACTAAATTTTCGAAATACTCATACTAATACACATTTTAAATAAACATAAAATTAAGAAACCACAGGTATATTGCAGTGCATGTATTTATATTACGGCACTGCTCTATCGATTTGTTTGTTGTTGTTTTTTTCATTAAGGAACACCTAAACACTATAAATTTGAAAGAAACGAGACGTCTACAGAACTTTGACGTTGGATCAAAATTTGTCTTTGGTATATTTAGGAAAATGTAATTCATAATACAAGTAAATATTCTAAGCTATTTTTTTAAAGCTAGATTGGACTTCAATAGTAATATCTACCCTTTTTAAAGGAAATATAAAGTTAAACGCAAAAAGAGATTCCACAGATTGGGAATCAAGGAAAGGAAATTAAGAATGGATGTAAGCCAGGACAAAAGAGTCGAGTAGGCAAGGAGGAGAGGGTGCACAGTTGTTTAAGAAACAATTCGGTGTGAACTCTAATACCAGGCAAAGGAGGGAAGACAAAGTAATATTGAGAATAGGTTTCGTGTAGTAAAGAATGAGAAGAATTGAAAGACACTGGAGTAAGAGAAAAAATAATGTACCTGCAAAATCACGTTAAGAAAATATTAGAATACTGAGGATTTTTCTTGCACAGATAAAGCAGAATGGCAGATAAAAAAGAATTAATATTCAAGAATGGTGTACATGAAAGTAAAAAAAGGAGGCAAAGAGAATGGTACCAGTTATGAAGAATGAGGCAACTAAAAATTGGTATAACAACATGGAGACACCAGATGAGGATAATAATGTATACAGAATAGCAAAGCAAAGGAAAATGGCCAAGAGAGATATTGCAGTGATCAAAGTAAGTAAGTAAGGACAAAGAATGGAAGCTCCTGATGAATGAAAAGACACTAAAACAGAAATGGGAACAGTACTACGAGGAACTACTTAACATCAAAAATGAGGTAGAAGAATTGAAAGAGACACCTCCAATAGCAGGCTCAGTAATGGAAATAAGAAGAGCAGTGGCCAAAGAAGCATTCAAAAAATGACGATTGGCAAGGTGGGAGATCCATCAATGAAGAAAACCTGGAGGGAAGAGTGGATACCCACGAAATGGAGCAAGAGAGACTATTGATGCCCATTTACAAGCAAAAATGGAGATGCTCTTGAGTGTGAAACCATAAAGGAATAAAACTTTGGAGCATGTACTGAAAGTGAAAGAAAAAGAAGTGGAAAAGAGCATAAGAGAAGTCAAAAGTATTAATGAAATATATTTTGGGTTTCAGCTTTGGAGAGAAACAATAGACACTCTCTTCATTCTGACACAGTTCCAGAAGAATGGCCTTAAAGGAAACAAGAAGCTACACCATGCATTTGTAGATTTCAAGAAAGCATATGACAGGATGCAACGAGAAAGAAAGAAAAGAATGCCTTAAAAGCTGACGAGACCAACATGGGCGCTAACAGAAATATTTTGAGGGGGTGGGGGCAAAAAATGTATGTATGGGATCAGCTTTTACGGTGTAAGTCAGGAGACTAAAATAATGTGTGTTATGTATGCTTAAACACAATCACAAATTTACAGTTTTAATAAAAAATTACTGAAAATATTTAGTTTAATTATGATGTTAAGTTTACATCATAATACATCTATTTTCTCTGTGAAATGTAAGGGGGAGCAAATACC